TGCGAATGACACCAAAATTGGTGGTATAGTTGATAGTGAAGAAGGTTATCGAAGATTACGAAAGATCTTGATCAACTGGCTGAGGAGTGGCAGATGGGGATTAATTTGGATAAATGCGAGGTAAAACAAACAAGGGCAGGACTTATACAGTTAATGGTAGTGTTGTAGAACAGAGACCTAAGGGTTCAGGTACATAACTCTTTGAGATTTGCATCACAGGTAGGCAGGCTGGTTAGGAAGGCATTTAGCATGCTTATCATTTTGCGCAGACCTTTGAGTATAGGATTTGGGATGTCATATTGAGGTTTTACAGGACGTTGGTGAGGCTTCTTCTGGAGAACTATGTGCAATTCTGGACACCCTGTTTATAGGAAGGATATTATTAAATTGGAGAGTGTTTAGAAAAGATTTACCAGGATGTTGCTGGGAATGGGGGGGTTTGAGTTATAAACATAAGCTGGATAGGCTGGGATGTTTTTTTTTAACCAGCGCATAGGAGTTTGAGGGCTGACCTTTATAAAGATTTATGAAATCAGAGGGGCAGAGATAAGGTGAATAGCAAGGGTCTTTTACATAAGGTGGGGGAATTCAAAACTGGGGGACATATTTTTAAGGTGAGAGGAGAAAGTTTTAAAAAGGACATGAGGGGCAACTTTTTTTTGCAGTAGTTTGTGTATGGAATGTATGCCAGAGGAAATGGTGGATGCAGTACAGTTACAATGTTTAAAGACATTTGGATAAGTACATAAATAGGAAAGGTTTAGAGGGAGCAAATTACTACAGATGCTGGAATCTGTACTAAAAACAACAAATACTGGAGAACACAGCAGGTCAGACAGCATCCATGGAGAGAAGGCAAGCTAATGTTTTGAGTCTAGATGAATCTTCATCAGAGCTGATGTGAAGGGGGCAGCTTTTATGCTATAACTTGGGGGAGGGGGTTGTGGGTAATGGATGTAGCATGCTGGTGGAGAAAAGAAGTTGATAGTTCAGATTAAGTGATCCAAATGTGAGAATGGCTGAATAGTAGTGTGTCTCCTGCCAGACTTAAAAGGACAGACACTGGGACGGGGAGTAAGGATATCATAAGCTAATTTGAAGGTGTTGAACTCAATTTTAAGTCCAGAAGGCTGTAAAGTGCCCGGTCTGAAGATGGGATGTTGTTCCTCCAGTTTGAGCTGTGACTCACTGGAACACTGCAGCATGCCAAGGTCAGATGTGGGCGTGCGAGCAAGACGCTGTGTTAAAATGACTGGCTATGGGAAGGTTGGGGTCATGCTTGCACATAGACCAGAGGTGTTCCACAACGCGGTCACGCAGTCTGCATTTGGTTTCTCTAGAGTAGGCTACATTGGGTGTAGCGAATACAATACTCAAGATTGGAGGAGGTACAGGTGAAATATTGCTTCACCTGGAAAGACTGTTTAGGCCCTTGGATGGTGACCATGGAGGATGTGATGGGGCAGGTGTTGTACCTTCTGCAGTTACGTGGCAACGTGCCGTGGAGACAGGATGGTGTTGGTGGTTGTGGAATGGACTAAAATGTCTCGAAGGCGCAGACAGGGGGAGTGAGTGGAAGATGTGTTTGGTGGTGACATTCTGCTGGAGTTGTCTGAAATGGCAAAGAATGATCCTTTGAATGTGGAGGCTGGTGGGATGAAAAGTGAGGACAAGGGGAACCTGATCTTGCTGTTGTGAGTGATGGGAAGGGGCAAGGGCGGAAGCACGGGTGATAGGTTGGATGTGGTTGAGGCCCTGCAGTAATTTGCTCCCTGACAACCACAGTGGGTGGGAAACCACAGTTATGGAAGAAGCAAGCCATGTCAGCAGCACTGTTTTGGAAGGTGGTATCAAATGCAACATTGGCAAAGGAACTGGGAGAATGGGATGGAGTCCTTGCAGGATGTGGGGTGTGATGAGCTGTAGTGAAGGTAGCTATGGGAGTCAGTGGCTTTGTAGTGGATGGCAGTGGACAGTTTATTCTCTGAAATGGAGACAGAGAGGTCAAGGAAAGGAAGGGAAGTGTCAGAGGGGTTAGAGGGTGAAAATTGGAGGCAAAATGAATGAAGTTTTCAAGGTGCTGGCTGGAGCAAGAAGTAGCACCAAAGTAGTTGTCAATGTACTGGGAAAAGAGTTGTGGGAAGGGACCAGCGTAAAACTGGAACAACGATTGTTCCACATACCCCATAAAGAGGCAGGCATAACTGGGACCCACGCAGATGCCCATAGCTATTCATTTGATATGGCAAAAGTAAGATGAATTAAAGGAGAAATTGTTCAGTAAGAGAACAAGTTCAGCCAGGTGGAGGAGAGTGGTGGCGGACGGGGATTGTTCAGGCCTCTGGTTGAGGAAGAAGCTGAGAGCTCTCAGACCAACCTGGTAGGAATGGAGGTATAAAGGGATTGGACATCCATGGTGAATAGGGAGCAATTAGAGACAGGGAACTGGGAATTGTCAATATGGTGGAGGGTATCAGAGGAATTGTGGATGTAGATGGGCAGGGTCTGGACAAACGGAGAGAGGATGCAGTCAAAATGGAATGAAATGAGCTCAATGGGGCAGGAACAGGCTGATACAATTGACCTACTGGGATAGTCTGGTTTGTGGATTATAGGAAAAAGGAAGAAGTGGGTTGTCTGGGGTTGGGAGACTACTAGGTTGAAGGCAGTGGGGAGGGAAAGATCCCTGGAGGTAATGAGGTTGGTGACAGTCCTGGCAACAATGGCTTGATGTTGGATATGGGGTCATGGTCCAGAGGGAGGTAGGAAGAAGTGTCTGAGAGCAGGCGTTGAGCCTCCACAAGGTAAAGATCAGTGTGCCAGACTATAACAGTGCCACCTTTGTCAGCCAGTTTGATAACAAAGTTATGGTTGGACTTAAGAGAGCAAAGTGCAGCAATTTACTTGCATTTCGTCAAGTTAGAGTGGGTGTCAGGAGCAGAGAAATTGAGACGGCCAACGTCATGTTGGCAATTTTCAATAAAAAGATCGAGGGAAGGTATGAAGCCAGGGAAGGGATTCAAGTGGAGGGTGAATACTGGAGGCGGGTGAAGGGATCAGTGGAACGGGGAGGAATCCTGCTCAAAGAAATGAGGTAGAAATGGAAGCGGCAGAAAAATAGTTCAACATCATGCAAGCCTGAAATTCATTTAAGGTGGGGGCGTAAGGGTATGAAGCTGAGACCTGCCAAACGCTGGCCAAGTGAGACTAGTTTAGTTTGGGAACATGGTCAATAAGGACTAGTTAAACTGGAGAGTTTATTTCCATGCTGTAGAAATGTCATGTGTACTCCATTGTAAAAGTACAATGAAAAGCTTTTACAATGTCTGCCTGTTACGATGCCTGTGAGACTCTATGACTCAGTCTGTGTTTTGTCACCCCAACGTAGAGGATACCACATTGTGAAGAGCGAATACAATAGACTTGATTGATGAAATGCAGGTAAATTGCTGTTTCATGTGGTAGGTGTGTCTGGAATCTTGGATGGTGTGGAGGGAGAACTTAGGCAGGTATTACACCTTCTGCAATTGCATGGGAAGATGCCACAGGTTGGGAATGGAGGAGAAGTGGACCAATGTGTCCCAGAGGGAGAAGTCCCTGCAAAATGCTGACAAGGAGGGTGGTGCCTTATTGTAGTATCTCAGTGGAGACGGCAGAAATTGTGACTTATGATCCTTTAGATGCACATGCTGGTTGGGTGGCAAGTCAAAACAAGGAGGACCCCATTGTTGTTGTGACGAGGAGAAGAGATGAGGACAGAAATGTGGGAATTAGTTTAAACACGGCTAAGGGCCCTGTCAACCACGGTGGTGGGGAATCTCAGATGAGGAGGAAGGTGCACGTTTTTGAGGCCCTGCTGCGGAAGGTGGCATAATCAGAACAGATGTAATGGAGATAGAGAAACTGAGAGAATGGAGTAGAGTCCTTATGGGAAGCAGAGTGCGATTTGATTTGATTGTTTTCACATGTACCAAGATACAGTGAAAAGTGTTGTTTTTTGTGCTATACAGGCAGATTGTACCATACAAAGTTCATCAGGGTAGTAGAACAGAGTGCAGAATACAGTGTTACAATTGCAGAGAAGGTGCAGAAAGAGAGAGAGAGAATCAACATTAACATTTGAGAGGTCCGTTCAAAGTCTGATAACCCCAAAAATAAAGACAGAGATGTTGAGGAAGGGAGGAGTCAGAAATGAACCAGGTGAAGGTGACAGCAGGATGGTAAGCAAAATTGATCAATTCTTCCAATTCCACGCAAGAGAGGGAAGCAGCTTGATGCCATTGATGAATCGGAGAATGAGTTGTGGGAGGGTTTTGATTAGGATTCCATGTACCCCACAAAGAGACAGGCATAACTGGGGCCCATGTGAGTATCCACGGCCACAACTTTGACCTGAAAAAGTGAGAGGAGTTAAAGGAGAAGTTCTTCAAAGTGAGCACGAGCTCAGCCAGGTGGAGGAGGGTGGTGGATGACAGTGATGGTTCCGGCCTTCTTTCTAGGAAAAAGTGGAGAGTCTGGAGGCCACCCTGATCGGGGTAGACGTATAAAGGGATTGCACATCCTTGGTAAAGATGAGGCAGTTGGTGCCCATTTCACAAAACAAAAATATGCGGCACGTAGACTGAACAACAATCTCACCTCATTATGGCATTCCTAGGAATGGTGGTGATGGGTGACTATTTTCCCGAAGAGATAAATGTGCAAGTTTCCACTCCTAAAATGAATGTTTGTACATCTGCCTTCATCATCCCATGTTCAGATTTTTCAAGATGAGCTCTCTTTGAATGCAAATTCGGCATTGCTACATCACAAAGCCAAAATTTTAAAAACATTCCATTCTGTTCCTCAGTTTAGCAGAGGGAAATTAGAGTTTTTCAGTTGATCATCAATTTTTTTTTGTGGCAATTTGAAACATTATAACCTTTGTTTGTTACTGTCATTGAGTTTCACATTCACCAGACTTGCAAGGCTAATGAGGTGTACTGTGCTTTTCATTCCAGGCTTTTCTACGGACTGTCTCGAAAGAGCTCTGTGCTTCCTGCAATAAGACTGTGTATCCCATGGAGCGCCTGGTTGCTGATAAGCTGGTTTTCCACACCACCTGTTTTTGCTGCAAACATTGCAATGCTAAACTGAGGTAAAATATGAAATTAAACTCTAACTAAACTCTGCTGTTCAGCTCCTCCAACGGCTGAGATATTTAAAGCAGGGAGTAACTGATTCATTCAGACAAGGAAGCTCCCAGGTTTGAGCCCCTGCCTGTCCTGAGTTAAATAAATTACAATCGGCTTCATCATGTGATGTACGGAATACGACGTCAGATGCTAAATACGAATTACTATCCACCAATTTCTGGTGGCAGTCTACCTATACTGAGAATTTGTATGCCTGTCATAATGAAATACATTGCTGCCTGATTTCACAAATAACTTCACCTACTTGAATAAGCAGTCTGCATTCATGGAACTGATTCCAGCAAGACACAATTAATTTGAGAAAATGTTTGTATCTAATTCTGTTAATCAGATGCTAAATAGGTCAGAGTTAAAAGTAACAAGGCAAATAGATATTGTGAACTCATTAATTCATTGTGACAGAATCATGAGTGGCTCTGTGGTGCAGTGGTAAAGTCCCTAGCTCTGAGCTAGGAGGGCTGGGTTCAAGCCCACTCCAGGCATGTTGCATAACATCTCTGAACAGGTTGATTGGACAAACTTGCCTATCTGAATCAAGGACGAGGGCTCTTGTGGCACAGTGGTAATGTCCCTACCTCTAAGCCAGGAGACTTCAAATCCCACCTGCTCCAGACGTGTGTAATAGCATTCCTGAACAGGTTCATCAGAAAATATTTTATCAGGAAACTGGGAAGGGCTCCTGGGGAATCTGGGGTGCACAATTTCCCCACCAACAACATTCTGATCCCAAGTTTTCTTTTCAGTTATAGACCCCTAATGGGCTATTTTTCAATCAATTTATCTTTTGTTTTGTTTTTGCAAAGAGAATTTAAATATATAATTCAGTGTATAAATTTCAGTTACAAACCTAAATCTCAGTTAACTACTAGGCAGATCTGCTTTTCTTTTAACAATCCAAAGAACTGTAGATGCTGGAAATCGGAAACAAAAACAGAAATTGTTGGAAAAGCTCAGCAGTTCTGAGGAAGGGTTACTGGACCCGAAACATTAACTTTGATCTCTTTCCATAGATGCTGCTAGACCTGCTGAGCTTTTCCAGCAATTTGTTTTTGTTTCTACTTTTCTTTTGTTTAATTTGGTCCAATTTGATTTTTTGTTTCAGTAAAAATCAAAGAATATTCCAATGTATATCCTTAAAGAGCTGATCTGATTTTCTTTGGTTTACTTTGGTTGTGTGGTTATTTGTTTTACTAAAAATATTACAGTATAAAGAGTCAGGCAGAAGAGAGGAAGCTTTCATCATTTGTGGTTAGTTGAAATAAAACTCTAATTGCAAAATGAATGCCTGGACTTTGTCCAAAACTATGCAACTTCTAGCGTGCAACAAAGAATAGAGAAAAATTAGATAATAGCCACAATAAAAAGTAGTCACAGGCTCTGATTCCTGTGGCAACAGGCTCCAGTTCTTATATTAGCTTCCTCCGCTTCACACTAATGACTCACATCAACAGGTTACAGGGTGCTTGCTGATTATTAATGATGTGTTGAAAAATGATTTTTGAATTAATGATTTGGCATCTTTCAGAATGGAAAAGGTGATGGTATCTGAATTAATAAATACTTCAGATGTTCAAACTTAAGACATTTAAAAGCTCAGCAGTTGAATCTCTTTCATCCTTGGCACATTTCATGTTCAACTAATTTTAACTGTTTCCCTCTTCAGTTCTCTGGGGGAGGTGTTGTTGTTGTGGTAATGACACTGGACTAGTAATCCAGAACCCCCACATAATGCTTGGGGACATGGGCTCAAATTTCTACCTTGATAGATGGTGAAATTTTAATTGAATAACCAAAGTATTGAGAATTTTAAAAAATAAACTAGGCTAATGGTGACCATATAACCATAATTGTAAAAACTAGGAAATTGCCATCCTTACCTGGCAGACATGTGACTCCAGAGCCACAGTAGTTGACTCTTAATAAGGGATGGCTATAATTGAGCCTAATCAGTGACACCCAAATCCAATGTTTACTCTAAGCCATGCAACCACTTGGAGGGTCTGAGCACGGATGTCCAAGTTCTAGAAGCAGTTGGCGCACATGGACCTTGGAGGTTGCGTAGTGGCAGGAACAGTTAGAGGGAATATAGCTCACATCCCCTGAAGAGATAAAGAAAACAAATTCACTATCCCCACCTGAAAGCAGGGACATGCCAGTAGCTGCCAGACTTTCGTAAGAGCCCTTCTCAAGCTGGTGGAAGACATATTTTCAACTTTCCATATGGATTCCTCTCTATTCAGTTAGCTGCTTACCTTTAGCAGGAGCTCCTGTGACCCTTGGCTGTCCACATCCTGAGCTTAATCTAACTTTAGTCAGGTGTTGTATGTCTGCTAGGAGGTATGTACATATCTCTTCAGTGTGCAAGTATGTACTGCTATGTTGGCCAAACAGAAACACAAGAGTTTTAGTATAGACTCTTCTACTGTATCTCTACTCAGAGACTCTTAATCATGGTTGTGATACATGAAACCCACTATACAATGTCCTACCATGGAAAGATGTGTGAAGGTGAGGGACCCTGACTATCCCAATCTCCATTGCCCAGTACAGGACAGAGACAGCAGCCTGACATAGTGAAAGATCATTGCTAACAGTTATGAACAAGGCAAAGTGAAAACTCATAGTGAACCATTAGCCTTGACCCTGCGAGTGATGCCACTGTTTGAATGTTTAATGTATCAAATTCTCTCACTGCGTCAGTTAGCTCAGGTGGCTGGACAGCCAGTTTGTGATGAAGGGTGATGCCAACACCACTTTTTTAATTCCTGTCCCAACTGAGATGATTATGAAGGCCCTGCCTTCAAAACCTCATCCCTTTCCTCAGGTGTAATAACCCTCACATTAATCTCACCATCAGCCATCTCACTCTAACAAGAGTTTTGTTATGGCAAAATTCACTTTTCATTTGGACAGAGTGAGAGAAGTAAAGCAGAATGGGCTGTCTTTTAATTATTTGGTGTACCTAAACTGTATATCCCTGAGTGATGACTGAAGCTTTTGGGCTTTATATCTGGTTCTCCTTTGTTCCCTTACAGTTTGGGAAGCTACGCAGCGCTGCAGGGTGAGTTTTACTGCAAGCCTCATTTCCAACAGCTGTTCAAGAGCAAAGGGAACTATGACGAGGGCTTTGGCCGCAAACAGCACAAGGAACTGTGGCAGCAGAAGGCAGCAGAGAGTGACTCCAAGTAATGATGACACCACTGTTGGGGAAGGAGCAGCTGGTTGGCAGCAAGCAAAATGTGAAGCTCTGACACCGTGTCTCTCTTTAACTAAGGATGTAGCAGCTGCATTTCCTTGATCAGCTTTAGTGTATAATTTAGGGGCTATTGCTAACATGGGGGAAGGATTGCTGTTGTCACTATGTGCAGTGACATTGTAAAAATGGTCATTAGGATCTCCTCTGGTCAGAAGAACTTTGAAAACAACATATATACAGCAGGTGTTACAAAGACCAACCAGAGAATATCTTGCTGACTGGATTTAAATGTTGCTTCCAGGTGACAACCAGACTCATCATTCTGATTTAGGATTTATCTACCAATGTGGCAATAGGGCTCAACAGCCCACTCCATCTCCACACCACACAATTCAAACTGGAAATAAGGAACTAAAGTAAAAGCAGTACCAAGTTACAGGCCAGATTAACACTGGGATCACTGGGCTGCATATGACCACCCAACAATCCTGTGTTACACACAGCAATTCTCCCCTCATCTATACATTGCTATGTCTTTGGAATGATAGCCCACCTGGTGGGATCAGTTTGCAATTGCACAATATACTCTCAACAATATATATCGTCTTTAAATGGGGTGGCTTTGTCACAGTGAAATGGTTGTGCCAGATATTTTAACTGAGCTTTACTGCAAACAGAATGTGAAGACACAATGCCACCGACAAGTCCACTGTGACAGATTTATCTTTTAGCAATTAAAGGTTGTAATAAGCACCATGGGAATCATGGTGTATCTCACACACAGCTTGCTACACTGTAAATTTTCCTCATAACCCAGAGGGCAGTGCTCCCAACATAATGTTCTTCAAATCAGCTCGCTTTTGCCTAGTTCCTTCACAAAATAGAGGTGTGAAAATAGTGTCAGTATGGTACCACAGGGCCTTTAACCCACTTGTATGATCAAATGTTTTATCAAATTAACTAAACAATGATTCGACTGTCTGACCCTTGCTCACCCCTGTATTCCTGATCCCAGCTTAGAGAGAGCATGTAACTCCCAAGACCACTCACCGCCCCCCAACGATAATACAGAAATCCCCTTCTTACGGAGCTCAGTATACAAAAATCCAATGAAAAACAGTTGAAAGTCAGTGCCTTCCCCTTACAGTAAAGGTCAATAACACCATCCCATTTGGAGGAGGTCAGTGACCCAAGCCTACATATTGGAGGACAGTGACCCTGGCCCACATGAAGAACTTCAGTGACCCTAGTCCACATGGAGGTTAGTGGTATCAGTCCACATTAAAGAGGTCAGTGACTCTTCCTCTACAGAGGTGGTCAGTAATCCCTTCCCCTACATGGACTTCATAGAGTCGTACAGCGTGGAAATGGAACCTTTGGTCAAACCAGTCCATGCTGAACGTAATCCCAAACTAAACTAGTCCCACCTGCCTGTTCCTAGCCCATATCTCTCCAAACTTTTCCTATTCATGTACTTACTAAATGTTGTAACTGTGCCCGCATCCACCACTTCCTCAGGAAGTTCATTCACATGCAAACCACAAAGGTTTGCCCCGATATCTTTTTTAAACCTCTTTCCTCTCACCTTAAAAATGTGCCCCTTTGTCTTGAAATCCCCCATCCTAGGGAAAAGACACCTACCATTAACCCTATCTATACCCCTCAGGATTTTATAAACCTTTATAAGTACACCTCTCGACTTCCTATGCTCCAGTGAAAAAATTCCCACCTTTCCAGTCTTTCTTTATAACTCAAACCATCCATATCTGGCAATATCCTAGTAAATCTCTTCTGAACCCTCTCCAGCTTAATAATATCCTTCCTTAAACAGGGCATCCAGAACTGCATAAAGTAGTCCAGAACAGGCGTCACCAATGTCCTGTACAACCTCAGCATGACTTCCCAACTCCTATACTCAAAGGACTGAGCAATGAAGGCAAGAGTGCTAAATGCCTTTTTAACCACCGTCTATATGTGATGCAAATTTCAAACAGTCAATGACCTCTCCAGTCCTAACCTCACAATAACTGTTTCAGTTTTTTTGACGGCTCTGTTGTTTTCTCAGTAGCTGGCTTAACTTCTGGAAATTATGCATGTGATTTAATTGTGGGGAATTCAATGTGTTTATTGTTGTATTCTGAAATCTCTGAACTTTAGAAGTGCACTCAGCCCCAAGCTCCTCAGACAGAATGCAATTTTTTTTCAAATGAAACTGTGCCTCAGTAATGGGTTAAGTGTTGAAAATAATATTTTGGTACTTGATTGTTTAATATGCCTGTACCTATGCATTTTATATTACGATCCATCAATCACAGATCATTTTCGGGTTTCATCGAAAGATTCAGCAGCCTTTTATACACTATTGATATTTTTTCCCAGTCCAACACAGCACTCAAGAAGTACCTGTATCACTTGCTCACTGATCAAGTATTGAAATTATTTTGTACTAATCAGAGTAATAACCAGGGATGAGACGTGGACTGATTGAACAGTGTTTATCAGATGCCTCTGATAATCCTCCAGCATTCAGCAAAATTATCACAACATCCACATCACTTTCCCCTTCCCTTGAGCTGAGGGAGCAGACGGATAACCTATATCCGATATTGTGCTGCACTGTCAGGATAGACATTTTACTCAGAATTGACTGAAATGACTTACGCTTGCCTTGCGCATAATCTCCAAATGCAATCTGCCCTATGATGCTACTGACATTTAAAAGCCTGGATATTTGAAGTGCACATGTGCATGGGCTCTGCTGCATTTCAGTGGCACTGACCGATTTCTGGGAGCACCAGGATGTTAAATGGGTGTACCAGGGGCACCAAGAGAATTAGCGGGAGGAAGGTACTTTCTCTCACTGTCGTTTTTGTTTACTGGCCCCATGTGGAGTCAGTCCAATGTATGAAATTCAAAGCACTATATATTTTTAAACCACTCCCACAATAACTCCATGCCCACAATAATCTGTTCAGTTGTCTCATTCCGCAATGACCCCCTTCTGCTTTTTGAGGGGGGAGCTTCGACTGCAAATCGCGTAAAGCTTCACTACTGTCTCACATTCCTCACTATTTAAATTGGAGATCGGAACTATACAAGGCCAAATCACAATGCTACAATAGTGTGCGCACCCCTGTTTTACATATCTCCGCATAAACCCTGTTGAGGCTGCTACACCTACCTTTTTGTTACTTTACCTGGGTTCTTAAACTTGTACTTCTTTTGTCAGAAAAGGTAGGGGGTGGAGAGCACAGTGTCTCTCCAGAGTTGGTCTCCTGTCTCCCAACACCTACCTGCCATTCACCCACTCCATAGCCTGTTCTTTGATTCCATCAAGTCCACATACTTGTTTATCTCAACCAATGAACATTTTCTTCCCTCTTTGGCTTCTGATTGTATTTCTTTTGCACATCAATGCCCAGCTAGGAGTTGCTGCGAGACCACCTAGGGATGGGCAACAAACATCAGCTTTGCTTTTCCTATAAAGAAAAAGTAGAAATAATTTGAAATCTATAAATTGACAGCATCTCCATAGCAATATAGTCTGGAGTTAAATTCTATCCGATTTGTAGATCCCTATCCTCGAGAAGCATTTTAGTCTGTTGGGAGCTCCAGTGGTTAGCTCTGTTGTAATTTTGTTTTTAACTCGTATGTATCCAAAACCACTTCACACCCATGTTAAAATCTTAGTAATCCCACTGTCTAAAACAGATGTTTTAAACTAGGATTGACTAATGGAATTGGTCACCTTTTTAGACTCTCCTTCAACCACCACCTATGTTCTGTACATCTCTTCTGAGCTGCAACCTCTCATTATAAATGTCATAGGAAACAGTGGTCATTCAATCCCTTTACCCGGTTCTGCCATTCAATCACATTTTGCTAATCTTTACTGCAATTTCAATTCGTGCATTTTCTCCATATCCCTCAACATTCTTTAGTATGTTTATCGATCTGTTTTGAAATCTTCAATGACCCCAGCATTAACAGCTTTCTGAATGAAGAAATGCTCCCTCATTTCATGCCTAAATGACTGAACTGTAATTTTGAAATTATGTCTTCTTCTTCTGGATTCCCCACCAGAGTACTTAGCTTCTTTATTCCTGCTCTTTCAATCATTTTAAAAATAAAGTACTGTCATCATGGCAAGCTTTCAAGGTTAATGCAACCTAGAAATTAGATTTTTAAAATGTGACATTATTTTGAGGAAAGTCTATACTGCATGCATAAATTTGTGATCAGCATTTTAAGATCTGATAGTGTATGATGTCTTCCCAAAGTGAAAAATTTCAAGTGCTGTTTTGTAATGGTTGCATGCATTTAATATATTGGTGATTCTTGTCCCTTAGACACGTGTGATCATTTTACTGAGAGGTGTGGAGCTATGATCCCGGTTAACCAATTCCACAGGATCTAATCAATGTTGGAATTAGAACTTTTACCAAATTAAATATTAAATACAATAACTAAACATTGCATAGCTCTCTGATACAGTATATCTGTGGGTGTAACAGGCATTTTTTGAAATTACTATTAAGGGATCATGATAAACTGGCTAATGATTCCTGAACCTTGGCCTGTGGGTGGAGCAACTGGGCCTCAGAGTTTGCCAAATTGGTGGACAAACCCTGACTGCTGATCAATATCCAATGAATCCAGTTATAAGTGGATTTTGGACAAGGAAAGCATGGGCTCAAAATGGTGGCCAAACAGCTTTCAAGCATGCATCATCTATTTACAGAAAGCCCCATTAAGTTAAAGTTTTGACATGTGGAACTGTGCCCTATTATGGGTTGACCAATTCATGAGGAGAAGGGGGGAAAGAGAACACAAAATAAATTTTAGGCACCTACTGATCTCACGATTCGCTAAAGATTGGATAGAAAAAGATTTCCCTAAAAGAAAGAATTAAAAAGCAATGAATGAGACACTATCCATTACACATTTTAAGAAATAATCCCACATTGTATATGCTGAATGCGAAAAGCTCAATGCACTCAGGATACATAAAATGTTAACAGGCCATTTCACTTTGTTTGTACTGACTACAACTCCTTGTTATACAAGTGAGGATTTGCGGGTACATTTTGTGCATACTGTGAAAGGAATATAACACTGATTTTAAAAAAAATAGACTTCCACCATCTGGAGCATTTTGCTTTTGTAAATATGAATGGGGGTTGTGGAGTTCAAAGTATGACCTTATGTCTAGTTGTATTCAATTAACACATCTATCTCTTCCCATCTCAAATTATTTTGTTTACGAGTTGTAAGACAATTCATTGTTTCATTACTCACTCTCCATCCCACAAGCCATTCACAGAATATTCTTGCAGAGAGCTGTCACTGTCTGGTTACTGCATTTACAACTTATTGTTACACGTCGGATATCCCTTGGTGCACAGGCCTTATAAACATTGTATGTTTGTACCTTTTTTACTGTTTGTATCTCTGATCATGACTGTTAAAAGTGCTGCTTTTGAATCTGTGATTTCACTTCTGCTTTACAAATGTTAGAGTTTTGACATTAAAATATACATTGTGTAACACTTTGTGTATAATATGCTTTAAGAAAAGGAGGAAGGATGAACTCCCTTTATCCCTATAGCTGTTTCAGTTTCTTTGATTCCATGTTATCGCAAGTTAACGTCCAAAGTCTGGTTGCACAATGTGAACATCTACTTTACCAAAGCTTTTTGGCAGCATAGTGACACAGTGGTTGGCACTGCTGCCTCAAAGTGCCAGGGACCAGGGTTTGATCCCAGCCTTGGGTGACAGTCTGTGTGGCGTTTCCTCCCACAGTTCAAAGATGTGCATGTTAAGTGGATTGGTCATGCTAAATTGTGTATAGTGTCCAGAGATGTGTAGGTTAGGTGGATTAGCCATGGGAAATGCAGCATTACAGGGATAGGGGGTTGGGTGTAGGTGAGATGCTGTTCAGTGGGTTAGTGTGAACTCAATGGGCCAAATGGCCTGCTTCCACACAATAGGGATTCTATGATTTTAAATACCTCACTCAGATACCCCTCCCTCAACTCGATTTTCAATGCTTAAGTGAATTTCACTACCAAGAATCAGCCTTAAGTATATTCATGGGGGACGTATATATAATGCCTTTGATTCTGGGTACTTGGGGCTGTGTGAACAATAGAGTGAAGGAGACAGACGAACACGCATCTGGCGACAGCTGTAATCCTGAAGGCAATGGCACCTAAAGATTTGTACAGTGATGAAAGGATCTTCTTCACCAGCCAGAGGCTGCAGTTACAAAACAAGTATTGTTGATGCTGCCTGACACAGTTATCTCAGACTGATAAGGTCATAGAAAAAAATACAGGACATCTTGCTTCACTTTTCAGTGATTCTATGGATGTTTGCTTCCATTCTGACACTGCTGGCAAGAAGCTGGCAGCTCTAACTCAAGATGGTAGACCTTGTAAACACATATCAGTGTCACTCTAATGAAGTGCAATTGATCTGAGCTGTTAACTTTGTTTCCATCCCCAGAAATGCTGTCAGACCTGCGTAGTGTTTCCAGTACTTTCTCTTTTGATGTCATAGTTGATCTATTTGGCTTCCTTTCTTAAAAAGACTGGGATTCCTTCCCATTCTTGTTTGTTTACTCCTTTCACAGAAAAGCTTACTGTGTCACATATGATCCCTGCCCACAGGGTACATGAGTCATGTGTTCCTATAACCCTATCAATGTCAGCTCAAAACTGACATTTGTGGCAGAACTCCTTTGGTAAGTGTTCCTCACTTCCTGTGGAGTGTACTCAGGCATTTCCAACACATCCAAAACCAACATGTCCAGGATTTCATCCCAACCCCACTATACACACTGCTCCATCACAGCATAGATAATTAGTTGCATCTTTGTCTTGGGGTTAGTAACTTGGGTTTTGCACCAAGTATAGTACAGATTATTTCCATGAATTTCTTCCGCTTCTGTACTGTGCAATGACCTATAAAAAGAAAACATATCTAAGGACTGGTACACGTAATATAGACATTCTAATGCAGAACAGAATGAGTGCTGTATTGTCAGACATGCTGATGTTTAGAAGGGATATTAAACCAAAAGCAGTCAGCTTCAGGCTGACCACTGAGATATTATTTGTCTTGTATGCTGATTGTGGCCCCCCCAATTCCTCTGCAGTGGTGAGAAGGCATTTAAAATTGACCACAGGCCTCAGACTGAATGCATGACAGAAGCTGAATCATTGGCAAAAAGGAGTTCACAGATCTGAACATATCTCACTTTGGCCTTTGATCTCAGTCTGAGTAGGTTGAATAGTATATCATCTCCTCTTATGATAAACCTTCTCTGAATTTTTTTTAATCCAGGAAAGCTTATGAGAGAAGGCAGGGCAAGATATCAAAAAGCATGGTGCAAGAACATAATCCTTCTTGACTCTATTTACTATTGGGAATATATTAGATGCCTTTCCATTCACGGGGTAAAGACTTCATAAACTGAATTAGTTTCATGGCTAACTGATTTTTGAAGAGACGAAACAGAAAGCCAGAAAGAAGATTTTGGTTAGAGCTACAAAAGCGAAATGAAGTGCCTTTTGCTGTTTGCCTCAGGGTAAAGACCATGGTTGTCGCTGAATACCCAGCTTTGAGCAAACACCAGCTTTTTAGCAGATATGGTTGACAGTATTTTATAAGCATCAGTTCACTATCCAGGTTTAAGTATTTACAACTACAAACAACAGTGAAATGCAATAATAACTGAACTAATCTGACTTGTCATCTTTGTTCTTGTAGAAGGTTATCATTAAGACAGGTCTCGGTTCCTAAGGAACTTTTCCTTTCTCCTATATTTTGAGGATAAGCAAGAACAGTTCATGAAGGAAACTAGGATTTTCCAGTTTAGAGATCAATTAGCAATCCATCAACAGCAGATGCTTTACTAAATCACTCTTATTGCTGCTGTATTCCACGGTGAGGGGTGCATCCTACTTCATTTTGTGTTGTTTAGTCAAAAAAGTAGTGCTTCTACATTTACTGCATTTTGTCTATTACAATGCATTTCAAAGGATGTGAGAAATGCTTCAGGGACATTGCAACAAAATTAGAAATTTTATAAATATGTCTTTCATATATCAGTGTTGTTATTTTAAAGAACTTACATGCATACAATGTTATCCCCTCTTCTGGAACATCATAAATGACTTGGAATCCACACATCCATTCAAGATACTAATGCATAACTGCCATATCAAATACTATCATGCTTCGCTCACCTTAGCTAAAGAAACCCACTATTCTCATATCATACTGAAGGACAAGCTTAGGTCTTATTTCCTTTTACAACTAGCTAACTTTTTAAACACTTCCCTCGCTGCCTCTGTTATCACAGCAAATGTAAGGAGCTCTTGGATTCATCCAGAACTAAGAACAATACTTTTTATTCAGCTATCTTCAAATTTCTTTGATGAAATCCAACACCTGCTCCCTCAATCCCATCGTCACTCAACTTCTCGGCCTTGATTCTAGATGACTTCAGTGGTTCATTCTCCTCGGACAGTGTATTCTTCTTCCCCAAAAAGAGCCCCAAAGATCCCTTACATTTTGTTTGTTAAGATCCCAACTCAAATCTTGCTTGGAGATAGTAAGAACTGCAGATGCTGGAAGCCAGAGTAAATAGCGTGGAGTTGGAGGAACACAGCAGATCAAGCAGCATCAGAGGAGCAGGAAAGTCGACGTTTCGGGTCAGGAACCTTCATCAGGACTCCAGATAGAAATGGGCAGTGTGGGGTTGGGGAACAATCAAGTTGGAGGCTGTGGATGGGAGGTCTCCTGAGGTGATGAGGTTATTGATGGTCTAGGAGATGATGGTTTGATGATCAGGGGTGGGGTCATAATCGAGGGGACGGTAGAAGGTGCTGTTGGAGAGTTGACATCTGCCTCAGCTATGTAGAGGTCAGTATACCATACTACCACCGTGCCCCCCGCCCTGCCCCGCCCCCAATCAGCAGGTTTGATGGTGAGGTTAGGGTTGGAGTGGAGGGAGAGGTTGGAGTAGGCGAGAGAGGTGGAGGGATTAAGGTAATTGATGTCGTAGCAGCAGTTGAAGAGGTTTGGGAGGGTAGGAGGCTGATGGGTAAGGTGCAGGGGGATAACTTTTGTCAGAGGCAGGAGAAGGGGTCTGCAGAGGGTGTGTTGGACTCCCGTTCGAAGAAATACCTGCAGAGACAGAGGAGGCAGAATAAGAGTTCAACATTGAGACGTGGACAGAATTCAGTTTATGTGTAGGCGTAGAGGAATGAAGGTGAGTCCTCTGCAAAGGACTAACCGTTCATCTTCAGAGAGGGTGAGGGCTGGGGGGATGGTAAATACCCAACAGGGCTTAGTGTTAGGCTGGAGCTGGGAGTGGGGATGGAGACTGTCTCTGAAGTGGGTGTGTGCATGGGAACAATCACGTGGGTGGAAGTGAAGTAGCGATGTGGTCGGTGGCAGCAGCAACATTGTTGGAGGCATCAGCGGATTCAACATTGTTGGTGGCATCAGTAGAAGTGACATCAGCACCGTCAGCGGGAGTGGCTGAGGCAACTGCATGATTAATGGCACCAGGCGGATTCAGGAGAAGGTTGGGGTTGGGGTCTAGAGTAGTTGAGAGGGTCTGTGTTTGGAGTTAAGTATGAGCGAGTTTGGTGTGCTTACAATTTTTGATATCTGATAGGGCATAGAAAAACTGTTTGTTGAGGGTGGGTCCTGTGTAGAATGAAAAACAGTAGAGGTCCTTTACAGATCTGGGAAAGGGAGGCTCTAAGCTAGGACTGACTGTAGTGAGAGAACATGGGGCGCACGGCTGCAAGTATGGAGCTGAGGATCTGTAGGGAGAACCATTTCTGCAGGCTCTGGAGGTACTATAATGGCTGTTGCGGGTTTGGTCCAAATTGGGATGGTCTGCAAGTTGTTTAGAGTACATGGGGGATAAGCTGGTTGCGTAGGCAGGTACTGAGAAAGGAGATGCGGCTGTAGTAACAGGTTTGTACCAGGACATGGTCGAAGAGCTTCAGGGTGGAGGAAATAACCAGGGGTTGTAGTGGGAGAGTGACCCACTGAGATCTTTTCGGAGGGAGGAGGAGAACTTCTCCAAGGTGGATAGTCTTGGAAGAGGCTTCACAGTATGGTTTTCAGCAACTAGGAGATAGCAAGAACTGCAGATGCTGGAAGTCAGAGTCAATACATTGTGGAGCTGGAGGTACACAGCAGGTCAGGCAGCATCAGAGGAACAAATCTTGCTTTCTGCCCCCAGTTTGCTGATAAGTTACATGTCAAATATTTCCATAGTTTCTTGCATGAATCCTCCCACACCAACTTTGAACAGCCCTAATTAATCTCATGAAGGACCTGACCTGTAGCTGATGCTTCATCCCTTCTCATCATAGTTAGCTTCACCATAACAATGAAGATTGATCACATTATCCTAAACTATCACCTCTCCCTCGCGCCCATCCACTTTCTGAAAGTGTCCTTACAATGTTCATTTAACACCTATCTAAGTGTAACAATTGCATCTTCATCACCACAGCATGCCACTTGTGGTATCTCTCATAGATTTTGTTTTTATTCGTTCATTCACAGGGCATGGGCATTGTTAGGTTAGAAGTGGGGATGTTTACGGATGATGATACAATGTTCAGCATCATTTGCAACTTCTCAAATGCTGAAGTAATCCATCTCAATGTGTGGCAAGACCTAGACAACTTTCAGGCTTGGGCTGACAAGTGACAAATATCATACTTGCCACACAAGTGCCAGGCAATGACCATATCCAAAAAAAGAGAATGCAACCATCTCCCTTTGACATTCAACAGCATAATTACTACTAAACCACCCACCATTAAAATCCTTGGAGTTATCACTTACAAGGAGCTGCACTAGACCATCTATACACTGTGGCTAAGAGGTAATTTTGTGTTGAGTAACTTACTTCATCGCTCCCCAAAACCTGCCACCATCTATAAGGCATAGGCAATAGTTTGATGGAATACTCACCACTTGCCTGGATGAATGTGGCTCCAACAAAACTGGAGAAGCTCAACATCATGCAGACAAAGCAGCCCACAAAACTGGCATCACATCAACCAGCTTCAACCTTCATTCCCTCCACCACCACAGTGGTAGCAAGGTATAACATCTATAAGATGCACTGCAGCAATACACCTTCAACAGCATGTTCCAAATCTGCAACCTCTACCATCTATAAAGACAAAAGGCAGCAACTGCATTGGAACATCACCACTTGCAAGTTCCCTTGCAGGCCACACACCGCCCTGAATTGGAACTATGCGGTTTTTCCTTCACTGGGGCAAAATCCTGGCACTCCCTCACCATATGCTGTAGGCCCTCACTCCCCATGCACGAGTTCAAGAAGGTGGCTCACCACTTTCTCAATGGTAATTAAGGATGACCTAGCCGGTAACACCACATCCCATGAAAGAATATTTTCAATAACTAATGCAGCATTCGGACACAAGTGTCCCATGAGGTTGTAGTCATGCTTGCCGAGCCGGTGGGTTTGGTTGCAAACGTTTCATCACCCTACCAGGTAATATTGTCAGTGCACCTCCGATGAGGCGTCGGTGTTCTGTCCCGCTTGTTATTTATCTGCCTGTTTGATCGGATGTTTGGTACCACCTCTGGTTCTGTTCCTCAGTGGTTTGTACACAGGGTCTAATTCAATGTGTTTGTTGATGGAGTTCCGGTTGGAAGACCAGACCTCCAGGAATTCCCTGGTATGTCTCTGTTTGGCTTGTGTGGTTACTGATGTGTTGTCCCAGTTGAATTTGTGTGCCTTGTTGACCGTGTGTAGTGAGACAAGTGAGAGCTGGTCTTGTCTCTTGGTGGCTAGTTGGTGTTCATGTAGCCATGCAGTCAATTCTCTTCTGTTTGGCCTATGTAGTGTTTCTCACAGTCCTTGCATGGTATTTTGTATGTTACCCCAGTTTTGCCAGTTTTGGGTATAGATAGATAGAATTTGGAATTGTTGGGAGGTTCTGTACATGGATGAGCAATATGTATTTAGAACACTTGAAAGTTGCATTATGCTTTAATGCACCTTTCTTGATGTACTGCCAAAGATTGTTAAAAACCAGAGAGAGATATTCTCCCTCAGCAACAAAAGGAAGAATCTACTGGTGCCACAAAGAAAGCATAATTATTGTGACCAAGGAAGACAGCAGCAAAGGTATTGGCTCACTCTTCTGGTTTCAGAATAAGGACTTTAATTAAACTAACCAGGTCTGAATAGGTGGATACACTTGGGCGTTCACCTACATCCTACTGTGTGCATCATCCCATAACCTCATTTGCCTTATCATGGCTACTTACTATTACCCCAACACCAGATGAGGTTATCATCCAGTCCTGCCTTCTCAACCTGTCCCCTTGCCTCGTGTGGTGACCCTCAGGTTAAACTATCAAGGGTAATACCCGAAATGCTGATTGCTCCTTTCCTCCAGATGCTGCCTGGCTTGCTATGTTCTTCCAGCCTCCTGTTTGTCTACCTTCTGCATCTGCAGATTTTTTGTTGTCTCTAACTAGTTGTCTCCCTCTAATGAGAGAGCAGCCCTATTGTCCTCTGGGATATGGCGAGTTTACCTTTACTTACATCCACTTACCTTGAAAACACATCCACGGGTCTCTTGCTATGATTGTCTTCATTTTTCCCATCTATCTATACACCACAGGTACTCATGCCTATCCTTAAGTAATTTCAGACTTCTCCCTGATAGTCACATTTACCAAGAACATTACATTCAGTGCATGAACATGCAGCTTACGTTTTTCCTGTTGCGGAAGAGAACATCCTTGGATGCATCGCATCCGGTCCTGGTAGCCTATCATCTTCCAGTAAGTCAGCTTAATGCCTCCCACCATTTTTAACCAATCTTAATTCCCCATTCACTATGATTTGAGCAGCAGCTTTTTTTTGATAAAGTGAAGCGTTCATTCAGTACCAACCCACACCACTGTCTCCATGCCTAAATCTCCTTTTAGGTGTCTAATCAGCTTCACTCCTTTTACTATTTATACGCCTTCATATCTCTACTTCTGGAATCCCTTTTGTAGCCAGTCCCTTCTCATACTCTTTCTTCTCATATTTTGTCAGTTACCCTCTGAATCTTTGATACTGAGCCTAATTCTCAATTGTATTATCCAGCTGACATTTGTCATATGCACCATCTCTCTTCTTCGGCTTCCTCCCTGTCTTTTGTCATCTGGGGCACATCTATTTATTTTCCACACATTTTCCCCTCATTGGAATGTATCTTGATGATACAAGAATTACTTCCTCTTTAAAGACAACCCATTCTCCAGCTACACTTTTGCTTATCAATCTTTAATTCAAATCAGGAAGATCTCTACTAGAGTCACGGGCTAGTTCAGTTCGTTAGACAGTTTTTGCTTCAGAACAACGGCAATAATGCGAGGCTTGATGGCTGTTCTGGCTGAGGTAAACTTGGGCCCTACCCCATTGGTAAATCACAGTATAAGATTGGTAAACTTGAATAATCAAGGATGATGTTCCTATCCCATGGAAATTGGCCCTACCCCAATTAATAACTCTCATTCTCGTTTGTCCTCTGTCCTGATAACAGGTGCCCATTATCAGCTTTCCTTGGCATACCATCATCTGTCTTTCTCTCAGTCTCTGAGCTCTGTCTCCACATATGCTCTCACACCTTTGAAGCTTCAACCCATATATATCAGTATATATGCCATCTTTTCCTACCTACTACTAGTTCTGATGGAGGGTTACTGGACCCAAAACATTGACTCTACTTTCTCCCCATAGACGTTGCCAAACCTGCTGAGTTTCTCCAGCAACATCTGTGAAGATATAGTCGTCATTATGGAGAAATGTCTGCAGGGTGACCAACGATGGGAACTGAATATCCAGAAGCATATGAGAATATGCTTCTGAATATGAGAAGGAGATACAAAAAGGAAAAGGCAGTCAAAGAGGAAATTAATGCAACAGTGAGGAAGGATATTAGTTCTAAAGATGTGGAATCTGTATCCGCAGAGCTGGAAAACATCAAGGGGCAAAAAACATTAGGAGGAGTTGTATATAGACTCCCAAACTGTAAAGTTATGTTGAAATAGCATTAAACAGGAAACTGTAGAGACGCCTGAAATAAAGGAACATCTGTGGGTGATTTTCATCTACATACAGATTAGGCAAATCAAATTAGTAACAATCCTGTAGAGGAGGAGTTAATGGAGTGCGCGCAAATTGGTTTTCTGGACCAAAACATTGAGGAACCAACTAGAAAACTCAATCTTAGGTTGGGTATTGTGTCATGAGCAAGGAATAATTGCCAAACAAGTTGCGCGAGTCCTTGGGGATGCAGTAAAGAAGCCAAATAGTATATTAGCCTTCATAGCCAGAACTTTTGATTACAGGAGCAGGGATGTCTTGCTGAACATATAAAGAACCTTAGTGAAACCATACCTGGAATACTGTATGCAGTTTTGGTCTCCTCACCTGAGGAAGGGTGTTCTTGCTATACAGGAATTGCAGCGAAGGTTTAGAATTAGAATTAGGTTTATTGTCATGTGTACTCAAGTACAGGAGTACACTGAAAAGTTTAAAATGTCACCCATGATGGCACCATCTTAAGTACACGGTACAAATCTGAGATACAAAATAGAGAAATAAAAACAGAAAGTTACAATACATTACAGTGATTCAATGTATAAGTTAGAAACTAAGAAATAAAGTTAAAAGGATGAACATTACAGACAGGTTACAGATAAACATTATAATGCAGTAGATCAGCGCAGGGGTCTTCCAGATATGGTCTTTTCGGGCTCACAAACCGCTGACCTGCACCGGTCCCCAGTCCAACAGCCATCCTCACTCTGCTCCATTACCAAACTGATCCCTGGGTTAGCAGGGCTGACATATGAGGAATGGTTGAATCAGTTAGGATTTAATTTGCTGGAATTCAGAAGAATGAGAAAGCACCTCATTGCAACCTATGAAATTCTAACAGGACTGGACAGGATAAATGTAGGAATGGTCTTCTGATAGCAGGTCATTCAGAACCAGGATATGAGATAGATCATTTAAGACTGAGATGAGAAGAAATTTCCTCACTCAGGCAATGGTGAACCTGTGGGATTTCCTGCAATGAAAACAGTAAAGGCCGAAAGATGTGATTTCAAGAAGGAATTGGAACCAGTTTTTGGGGATCAAAGGCTACGCGGGAGAAGCAGGAACAAGCTGATGAGTTGGATGATAAACTATGATCTTAAAACATGGCAGAGCAGCTTCAATGGGCCAAATGGTTTACTCCTGCTCATAATTCCTACATTTCTATAACCAACCTAAACCTAATATAATAATCATTGTTCCATAATTGTTCTCTTACCGACACTTGATCCACTGGTCTACTTCATTCACAAGAATCAAATGCAGCAACTTTCTCACTGGAATGAAAATATTCTGCTTTAGAATATTGTCCTGAATACACTCTTGAAACTCCTGCTCATCTCTGCCCACTACACATGTTAATTATTTTAAGATGTACTGTAATAAAATGTACTACTCTGAAACTTATGTGCACCTCTGCAATTTCCTTGTAAATTTATTCCTGTAAATTTTACCCATCAGCTTGTGGCGAATGGAATACGCTGGGCAATGAAAGGGTACCTATATTGTTTCTTTGCTCTAACCAAATAGATTCTGTACTTGAACACTCTGGGATATTGTCTCATTCTAATACTATAAAACATTATCCTTAATCAACAGTGCTACCTTTTTTCTCTATGTCTTTCTTGACCACCTTGTCACAGAGTAATTTACAGCATGGAAGGGGGCCATTCGACTCATTACGCTGTTACAAATGCGTGGTTTTATAAGAATGTATGCGTATTTGGACTGTGTTGATTAGAGTAAAATGGAGGAACAAAGGAGCTGACGTGATCTGCTTTGGATCCTGCTGCCAGCAAAAGTAGGTGGCTTGATTGTTAAAGACATTCAGGTGTTTCTCTGTGAAGATGCAAGATGCTCACACTTGCAAACAATGGTAGAAGAATATTTGCTGACAATGGATATACTATTAGTCCCAAAGTCCCAAGAAGAATTAAGAGTGTCTGATTTTGAAAATGGTTATACTTTATCTATTGTCTATTTAGTTTCATGACAGAATAAGTTGATATATCTCAAGGGTATAAAATCAGCATGTTTACCTTGATAAATAGGCCCATTGATTTACATTGCCATGGAAATGGGCTTTGAGAGGAATAAAATGTACTGGAAGCCATTGTAGGATTAGATTATAAGGTTCTCCTAAAAGTTGTACCTGAATTTCACAGAATGGTCAGTTTGCCAGGATCCGAGAGAGATAGAGAGAGAACACAGGTAACAAGTTCTTATTATGCATTACATAGAGATGCAGGTGAGAGCTTATACTTAGACTGAAAAGACCAAATCTTTGAGGACTTACAATGAGGCTAGAAGATTTGTCTGCCTTCAATCACAGACAAAATCTCCAGAAAAATCCTGAGCATTAAAGATAGTTCTGAGGTTAAATGTTACTAGACTGGGGCAGGAAAAAAATGAAAGTAAATCCTTAAAAATGAAAAATCTCTTTAGACTGGTTCCAGGTGAATTAAATGCCTACTTAAGGGACAGAGTAAAATAATACCATGGAGTGAGATCTTTGTTCATTTGAAAGTAAAAGGGGAAGTTCTGTTCTGCAGTTACCTACAGAAATAGTGTTTAATCAGTGCTGGTTTTAGTTTACTTGTTGCAGCTGAAGTTGCAAAACTTGAAAACTTGTCACGTGAGCTTTTAAATTGGACTCAGGGAATTGAAATGTTGTTAAAATGATTATGGTCTTTGTATGAAGTCTATGTTGGTTCCATCCAGAGCAATCCTGTCATTTGTACTCCGCTACTCAATTCCCACAGTCTTGCAAGTTTATTTGTCTAAACCTTATCCAATTTTGTCACAGAATCATTATTTCCATCACACTCACAAAAGGCCAGATCCAGGTGACTAACACTCACTGCATAACATTTATATAAAATATTTTTCGTCACGGTCCCTCTGCGTCTCTTACCCAAAATCTTAAATCCGTGTCTCCTATTCCTTGTACTATCAGTTAAGTGGTGGTTTTCCTCCTCAACCTTGTCTAAAGTCTTGTACACCTCAAATCTACCCAGTCTCCTTTGCTCCAAGGAGAACAACTCCAGCTGTTCCAAACTAACCTTTGTAGCTACAGCCATCATTCCACAGTATCATTCTGGTAAATTTCCTCTGCATCCTCTCAAGGACCCTAACATTTTTGCTGAAGCATGGTAACTATAGTTAGATCAATATTCCAGTTAGGACCCAATCAGAGCTTTATCAAGGCTCAACATAACTTCCCTTACTTTGTATTTATGCCTGTAATTATGAAGCCCAAGATCCCACTGTCTTACTCCCTTGAAAAGATCAAAATGCATGCTCCTCTGGTCTTTCTATTCCTGTACACTGGTTAGAATTGTGCCATTAGGCCTCAATTTCCTGTCCCTCTTCTTTCTGCTAAAATGCATCACCTCTCATTTTGCTGTCTTAAATTCCACCTACCACTTCTATGACCGTTCTGATAGCCCGTCAATGTCCTATTGCAGGCCATTTAAATCATCTTAAGATTTGCCACTCTAAATTTGGTATCATCGATAAATTTTGAAATTTGACTCAGCATTCCAAGACCCAAATCATTTCTTTATTGCAAAAACAACAACACAAAAACAACACAGCACTGACACTTGGAATATATGACTATCTACCACCCTCCAGTCCAAAAAAAAATCCTATCCACCATGACTGGCTTTCAGTCCTCAATCCCATTTTGTCAAATCCAACTGGATGTTGAACCTTCCATGTTGTCAGCTGTAATTTAGTAATCAGTCTTAAGGTAATTTGTCAAACATTTTATTAGAAGCATGTTTCCCTTGAATATTTGAACCTAACCTTGTTCGTTGCATCAACATTTATCAACACCGTACACATTTCCTTGTGGTTACACGTTTTGGTGATCCCGACGTCTTTCACACTGTTCCTGGTTTGCTTCATACTGCTTCCAGTCTACTTCAATGATCCTAACATACTTCATAGCAATCTTGACCACAACAAGTACCAGAAGGCAAAAAGGATTGTGGAAGCAGACAGATGAAGCATGGTTCTAGGAGGGGCACGTATACAATGTAATGAAAAATTAATATCAAATCAGAATTTTTACAGCACAGAAATTAAACGATGGTGTAAATGACCATGCTACTCTGACATAAGCAAAGCAGAGAAATGATTGAGACTTGAAGAGTGGCAGAAGAGAAACACTACATTAGACTGCTGCATTTCTCCAGTATAACGTATATCCGTGTAAATGAAGAACTTTCAGAATTACTGAGAGTGAGTGAGCATTATTCAAGCTAAAGATACATAGGACACAACAGCAGCAGCAGTCTAACAAGACAGCGCGACCTCTAGACACCAAATGCCCAGCCAACCCGAAGCATGGTTACAACAGAGCTCCTATTAAAGCAGTGCGGAGCAAACAGCAGTTTCTGTGCGAGATAGTAAGAACTGCCGATGCTGGAGTCAGAGATAACACAGTGTGGAGCTGAAGGAACACAGCAGGCCAGGCAGCATCTACTACCCCAGTTACAGCGGCTGAACAGAGGTTGAGGCTGTTGCTCTCTCTCTTGCATGGTTCCTGCTCGTTGGGCTGACTTTGTCACTGGGGTGTCAGCCCCTTTGATTCAAGTGGCCCCTTTAAATATAATTTCCTGGAGTATACCCAAATACAGTAGCTTACTATTGTTTACAATGTTGACATGGTAACTGACATGTAGATTCCTGCTACCAAGTTACAACAGTTAGATACAGTAAGTAACATAATTCAGTTAATCTAGTCAATGAGTTTCTGTCCCAGAAAGGGTGTTACAAAAGGCAGTATTAGATATTATAATTTCCCTATTGGCTAAGCTGACCCGAGGAGCCGGACAGTCTCAAAAACTGTTCTATTGAAACTCTCGACACATTGTTCTATCCGAAACCTCTCAGCATTGTCTCATCAACACCTATTCAATATAGACAAACAGGAGGATGGAAGAACACAGCAAGCCAGGCAGCATCTAGAGGAACAGGAAAGTTGACGTTTCGGGTCGGGACTCTTTTTCAGAAAATGAGGCAGTTTCTGTGGCTTCCTTGTGCGCTGTATATTCAACTGGCTAACCTCTTCCCACTTCATACTCCTGAGCTTCCTTCACTCTCCCTCACACTCCCCGCTACCCTCACACCCTCCATTCATCACCTCACGCCCTTTCTTCTCACCGATCTCACCCCATCTCCCACCGCCACACTCTCTTAAACCTCTCAGCCCCACCTTTCTCCACCTTAAACCGCTCCGACATCGCCCCATTTTATTTCAGCCATTTCCTCACGCTCCACAAACAAAACCCGACAAACTCCGCCATGAAGCCACTTCACGTCCGCGCCTTCCCGCGTTGCGCATGCGCCTGCCTGCCCCGCCCACTGCCCGGTTCTGCGCATGCGGTGCCGGACCCGGTACTCTACGCAGGCGCATCTAGTCATGGCCGCCGGCTTCCGGCACTCTGCGCGTGCGCGGCGGCCGGAGGCCGGAGTTTTTCTGGTTGTTGCTCCGGAAGAGCCGTTCGTTGTGTGGCCCACTGCAGCCCGTTAGTGTACCTCTGGGGGCTGGGGCCCGTCCGATTCGCAACCGCCATGGAGACGGTGGTATCTGCGCGGCGTCGGGGCTAAATTGTGCAGGCAGACAGCGATCGAGGGCGGCGCGGGGCCCAGAGCCCCGAATCAAACTGGAGACTGTGGAGTAGGCGGCCCAAGAGGCAAGGCCGGAGACCACCGGGACGTTCCCAAAACCGGCAGCAAACCGACCACACGATACAAATGCAGGTACACTGAGAGAGTGTACGTATAACGGGCTATGTGTACACTGAGCTAGCGCCGAATATCCTGGGACTTACAAATGATTCTGCATAACTCAGGTTTGGGGCTGTCTGATTTGCTGGGAACATAAAAACGCAGTTTGCAGAGTTGTTGTACAGTCTGCCGGGGTTATGCAGTTTGTAGCTTCAAATGCATTAAGTTAGTGCAAAATACTTTGGGATATGCATAATATCCAAATATGAATTGAAATGGGTTGTTCAAATGATAGCATTCAGACCGACTTTAGAATATAATGTTGTACATTGGCAGAGATGGTTTTAAATATGATACCAATCCACTTATCCAAAACATAAGATAAAACACATGTGTGCCAATGAACATATGCAGAATACTTGGGAATGCATTAATGCACTTGAGGAGAGATTGCACAGAATGCACTACTTTGTAGTGCTGAATATAATGAGACTACTACGGGTAAACTACATGAGATTAATGCTGGCTTATTAAATACACATAAGATGCTAGTACTGTGCGCTGCAGAACAAACCTATAAACGTTTCTTTAGTTTCTTTTTACATTTGCTGACAGAATGTGGGCAATTTATTGCTCAGCCGCTGCATCATCCTTGAGAAAGTTAGCTGCCTTGAACTGCTGCAGTCAATGGAGTGGTGGGGCATATTGATATGCAGGTAGGTTGCCCATGGTGCTGTTGGGGTTGGGGTTTCAGGATTTTAACTCAGTGACAATGATGAGTTAAGCAGTTTAGTCTCAAGTGGGAGAGGTGTGCATCTTGGAGGTGAACTTGTAGTCGGTGTTTCATGCACCTGATGGCTTTGTCCTTCCAGGTGATAGAAGTTGGTAGATTAGGACATACAGTAGGAATGTACTATACTCGGGGCCTGGTGAATTGCTGCAGTGCATCTGGTAGCTGGTTAGTCATCGCTGCCATTCTGTTGCATGTGGTGCCAATCAAGTAGACTGCTTTGTCCTTGATGCTAACAATCCATTTGTTTTCTGGGAGCTGCATTGATCCAAGCAAATGAAGTGCATTCCATCATATTCTTGACTTGTGCCTTATAGATACAGGACTGGCTTTGGGGAGAGTTACTCACAACAGAATTTCCAGCTCCTGACCTCCTCTTGTAGCAACTGTGTTTATATGGCTTGTCCAGTTCAGTCTCTGGCCAATGGTAACCCCAATATGTCAGCTATGTTATAAAGGTATACAGAGTTATACTGTTGTAGAATATAACAGTGGAAGCTTATAATGCCAGTGTATCATAGTCATGCAGCTGATGAAGGTATACTGAGACAGTGCAAAAATTCCCTAAAATACTAAATTGACCATAAAGAATTATCTTGCGATATAACAAGATGTGCCATTCACCAGTGCTGCTTCCCACAATAACATATGTGAGTACAGAACCATTGCAAATATAGTCAAACAGGTTTATAGAATGGGTGCAAAATATTCCTGAATATTTTAATGCAATGTGGAGGTAATATACTAGAATTCATTTTGTATACCTTGGTTAATTAACGTATACAAATGAAGATTCACAGAACAGCGCAGAACATGCTGAAATGCTGTAACAAGACAAACAGCTTATTTAAGATATCCAAGACATCTTAAATGCACATATGCAAAACTGTGACACTTCCAGTTGTGTGATCAGTGTTGAAGAGAGTGAAGATGAACCAAGCTATTCTGATATGACTTCACCGAAGCAATACAGAATTTTACAGACTATTTTAAATGTAGAGAATTCACTATAGGATATGCTCATGTAACTATCCTGCAATGATGTAGCATATACAAAAAAAAAAATCCAACATAGGTATGCAGACAGACAAGCAGTGTTTTGTCCTGATGTAACTAATCAGAGTCGATGCAAAATTGGATAGATGTAATCATGGCGATATGCTCAATGTATTGTGATATGTTCGACCCAGGGCCAAATACAACAGTACATTAATTGAGCAACATAGTGCTACTGCAGAATGAGTTAATTTATTCAGACAACTGTTCAAACAAAAAGTTAATAAAAAAGGAAGAAAACAGAATATGAAGTGAAAAATAACCTTGGATATAAATCCAATTACTGGAGCTTTTACAAGCATTTAAAAATGAAGAGAGAAGCTAAACCAAGTGCTAGTCTTTCAGAAGTAGAGACAGGAGAAAGCATTATGGGGAATGAGAAAATGGTAGATCCATTGAATAAATATTGTCCGTCTTCACATTGGAAGGCAAGTTATGTATCGGACTACATTTAGAGTTCTAAAATATTTGGCTACAGAGATCCGTCCCCAGCTATGATTTTCCAAAAGTCTGTAGAATCTGAAATGGTCCCAACAGATAGGAGAAAGTATTTTAAGTCAAACGGTTTGGACGTGTTATGACGTACCTTTGGAACAGGTGGAACGTCAAACCTGAACCTTTTGGCCCTGATGCACGGACACTACCATGGCACCACAAGAGCCCCTCCCAGCAGTTTGAAAGTTAACAAATATATTACTCCTATTTGAGAAAGGAGGGACAAAGAGTTCAGAAAATTGTAGGCCGATTAGCCTTAAGTCAGTTATCCGGAAAGTGTTGGAATATGTTGGGGAATGCATTTCGGAAAGCACGGTATAATCAGACAAAGCCACCATGGTTTCACAAAGGTGAAAACCAAATTGAAAAATGTAACTAGTGGAGTAAATAAAGGGAACTTAGTATAAAATGTAAGCGTCTGGTGTTTAAAATCCAGCACCCTTTAGACCAAGTCCAAGACCACGCTTGATTTTGGATTTTACAGGAATTTGGATTACATGCAGGATTAAATAGGAACAACTAATCATTAACTTTCAATTTTCTAACCTGGCCTAAGGGTGATTCATCTATTGAGGTGAACAATTCTTCCTAGTCATCAATACAAATTGATGACATTCTTGGTGAGGCAAATTCACTGTACTTAATCCCTGTATTTATAATCCACGTTTCAGTGTGTTAAGTGTTAAAGTGATTTATTTAAAATGCATTGAGTTTGCCATTTTTTTTTTTTCTCTTTTCACTGTACTCTGTGGGTAGAGAGAAAAGCATACAGTGGACTTTGGTACTGACCTGCACTTTCTAAAATATATTCAATAAAGTATAACACAAAAGGCTAATATGCTGGACAAAGGCTCAATAAGTTGGGGATAATATTAGCATGAATAGAAGATTGGTTAATGGATAGGAAGCAGACAGTATGCATAAACAGGGCATTTTCAAGTTGGCAGGCTGTGACTAGTGATGTGCTGAAAGATCAGTGCTGGGACCTCCATTTTTCTGGTCTACATTAATAGTCAATAGATGAATTGATAGAGATTAATGTAGATTCCAAGTTTACTAGGTGAATTTGTACACTGATGGTGTACACTGAGGCTGGAAAGGGAAAGACAGGTTGAATGAGTGTGCAACAAGTTGAATCTTGTAGGCAAATGTGAGGTTATCTAGTTTAGTCGTAAGAATGAAAAGGCAGAATTTTTTTTAAAGGTGTGAAATTTATCAATGTTGATGTTCAGAAAGGGACCTCTATTTAATGTCATCTCTTACAGTAACACTCCCTTATTACTGCGGTGGAATATCAGCTTTGATTTTTGTTCTCCAGTCATGGAATGAATCTGAAGCCATAACCTCTAACTCAAGGGGGACCATGCTACCAACTGAGCCGCAGCTGATCAAAGTTTCCTCCCACACCTTTTAAGATTTCCCTCAAAAACCTTGGCAAATAGTGTTTTCAGCACGCTGCCAAGAATCACCTTGGGACTGTATTATAGTGCTGTATAGATCCAAGTTATTGCCTGTGCCGTCAGCTGCTGCTCCATCCACTCTTCATCTCTGACATCTTATTGCTTTAAGAGGTAGCTAAGTTTTGAAACTATTAATACTGTTGTTTAGAACAGAAAATTGTAAGTTTCCAGATATAATGATATGTAGTTCTTCAAGCTTTCATTGAGCTTAGTCAAACACACAGCAGGTGAAATGGACGCACTTGAAATTGTTCAGTGGAGATGTTAGAGTGAGAATTGGAGGGCTGATTAACACATTGAGTAACATCAGGCAGATCCCATTTACACAATTGAGCTGTTGTGGACATGCTGTTTTGAAGGAGGATTATCTCATAATCAAACATAAGTGAATATGCTATCATATGTATGTGACTGGTAATGGAGCTGATTCTAACTAAAATCCTGCAAACTTAGGCTGATGTTTACAGGGTTTTATGAGTTCATCTCTTTGTGAAGTTAAGTTGAACAAAGTAGAGGTGGTTGGAACTTGCAGACATTGATTCAGGCCAATTTAATTTCTGTGGTTTGAAAGACTATATACTGGAAAAAAGTACCTTGTACAATGGTCAATTACAAAATAAGAGCTTAACAGAAATATTATAGCCATTATATTTTCCTTTCAAGGTGTTTATTAAGTATATTAATAGTAAATGCATGGATTAAATTACAAGTGTATGTATATATTCATTTATATATATATCTGTAAAATGCATTCGGTTGTTAGTTCAGGGCTGATATGAGACTTGGTATGATGCTCA